CACAATCCCGGAGTTGTTCGTTGACATTAATGGGTATGAGGCTGGACGAGTCTGCCTTTAACTGATGTATCAGTAATTAACTCTTGTTATGTAATAGGACTAAAGTCGTCGTAAACCTAGTGACGCTGAAAACTATCTCACATAACCTTACTAAACTCTACCTCATATAATTATTTAAATAATAAAAGATCAATATTTACAGGTTTAATAGACAGAACTCCGACGTTCAGCAATGATGAATTTTTATAGAGGAAATAAAACATTAAACTAATCTTGTGATAACAATAAACGTTCAGTTTAAATTCGCCTATAGTACTGTAAACCATTGAATAAGGTACTTTAATTAATTTCAAGCACCAATAACGTAAAAATAATATTTGATTTTTGACCTTATCTCACCTGAATCACCTGGATCGGATGGCACTCAGCGACAAATCACTCCAATCATAACACGCCTGCCATTCCTCATGGTTTCTAGTTCTATCTCTCGAAGCACGGCCTTTCCGGCTCCCGATATAACCTCTTCACTGTCGTCGTAGGCGACTAAAGGGCCTAACCAGCCCGCGTGGACACTACTTGATCATCATCGTCGACAATCTTCCATCGGTGAGCCGAGCTACGTGTCCGGCCCACTGTAGTTTCGTTCCTCTGCTTTCGAGGACAACGTAATTCACTCCTGTCGCTGAGTGACCACCATGTCGAGGATGAAATCGCGACCAAAATGTCCCACATTGTTCTTTTCATGGCTCTCTCGGTGACAGATAGCTGACACACTTTGTCTTTAGTGAACGACCACTTATCCTGGCCATACAAATTGCCGGCAGGACGGTAGATCTGAAAAGTTAGGCACAGATTTCTTTCCTGATGTTGTCGAAGAGGACGTCCTTGACGTAATGGAACACCCGCCAACTGCTCCTCTGTCTTCTTAAAATCTCTCCAGCATGACAATGGAGCATGTTGTCCTCTTAACCCAGGTAAATATATTTACCACCCCAGATTTTTTCAACGCTTGATTTTGTCTGGATCTTCAGCAGAGCATCCAATTACAGTAACTTTGTTTGTAGCCGATTGATTCGCAGTTCAAATTATACACATTCTATGTTGAGCTCTTACGACATGTCCTGTGGCTGACTGTCGTTGTCGACAAACAGCACCACGTCTTCACCAAATCTTAGGTAGCTGAGCTGTTCACAGTGGATGTGATTCCCACCCTTCCAGTTAATCGCCTAGGACGCCATTTGTCAACAGCCAGTGAAAAGTATGGGGAAGATGGTGCCCCTTTTCACATCTTTTCTGAGGGATGTGTCGAACAGCGCTTTGTTTGGTGAAACAACCAGAGATTGCATCGTTAATCAGGTTGATGTAGCGGGTGCTGATACCCTGTTATGTCAGTTCATTTCGCATTGCGTCGTACCCGATAGCGTCAATTGTCGGGTAATCCAGATTTATGATGTCTGTTCATTAAAAATGGTACTTTGGATTAATATTAGGCAACTCTGAGAGTAATAATTAGCTAGACTGAGTTTACGAGTTACTACAGAAGGACGAGAAATATTATGTGGGAAAACAGGGAACATCATCGCTCAAATCACAACGACCTAGCCGTCAAACTGGGTAAGAGTGACAATGGCGGACGAGCATGAAAAACACGTGGTGACGAAGCTCCGGGTAAGAAAACAAAGCCTGCTCCACAACAGGGTCAAGAAGCAGTGCAAAAAAGACAACCCGGATTGTGTAGCACGCGGCAGCGGAAGGGCACACCCATCCATAATCAGAATGCACCGGCATCATCAAAGAAAGACATTGCCTGAATGGGCGCCTCAAGGCGGCATTAATCATCCAGTTCCAAGACAGCGTTATCCGTGACAAACGATACATCCGAACTCTGCGCGGATTGGATGAGTTTTGTCGCCTCTGTCGCCAAGCAACTAGTTAGTCATCCTCACGGAAAAACGCTCGCCACCTTGCTTCTAACGCACCAACCATTGCGAACGGATAAAAGAACTTTTTCAGCCAGTCACGCTCTTTTTCCTGAAGACGGTCTGTAAAACACAGGCCAAAACATCGGCACTGACCAATCATCCGACTGACGACGTTGTGTCATTGTTTGCGTTGTGTCTGAAAGAGCCATTCTTCGGGTTGTTTTCCGTACGCCCAATAATGCATCAACGAAATATGAAGATAGGTCAATATAAATATCATCTTATGAAACTTCTTTGGCAGCACTGCTGCCTGAAGATCGCGTAGGTGCTGCCTAAACGTTGTCCTGTTTTTTAAATCATCTCTACTCAGTTTTTTCAAGAGGCTAAACCAGAAATATTTTATTACTAATGAAAGTGTCACGAAACAAAACGGTTAAGGTAATTTTAGTTTTAGTACATTATAATATATGGTTTGAAACAGAAGCACGAGGGGCTTCAGATTTGTGATGTAAGCTACGTTTAACACATCGTTTGATGAGAATCCCTCGGTGCGCTTTACACGTCTGTACATGAAACAATGAAGTTTGCAAAGAATAATTGGATGATGCAAATTGGCCAACGGAGCAACGTACTTTCCTTCGATAACGACGGTCGAACTTTTACATTTGTGCGGCATATTTCGTTTCAAAGTGCGATTCTCCTTCCTTCATTCTAACTATGCAGAACAGCCGGTGATTTATTTACTAGTGTTTCAGTTTCCGCTGACACTTCTACGGTGGTAGTGAAATTTAATACCGTACCAATATCGTAGACATCACCACTTTTTTAGCCTTGATTGTCCAGGAAAAAGCATTCTTCAGCGACTGACCATGATGTTCTGAAACGACCGCCAACTCTAGCAGTTTTTAATGCTGCCGGTCGGAACCGCATTGCGGCTGTTGTCGGATTGGCACGACATACCCGCACCGTTCCCTTGCTTCCGGATGCCTAGGGGGGCTTTTCAACAGGCCACCGTTCAATGATATTTGGTTACTTGAGGTGCATGGAGCGTGACGTCACGCCAAGTTAGGCAGACAAATACGCATTCGAACACCAACCAATAGATCCAACCGGGATAACCAGGAGAAGGGACAGGATAGAGATCGGATCGGCGCCATCGAAAGCTGCCAGCATCGGCACTGGCTCAGCATTGGGTCATTTGCTGTATATATAAATGCTGAGGGATTGTGAGTGATATTTCAGTTGGCGCATGAACGGCGCTTACTCAGAACCAG